AGAGACCGTGCGTGGGGGCCCCTGAGTGGCAGGCGCTGGCAGCAGAGGTGTTCCTGACCTGAGATGACTTGGGGGAGGTGTCTGCGTCCCACACAGCCTGGGTGTGGGGTGTAGGTGTCTGCTGCTGCGTTCCACACTCAAGCCTATTTTATCCATTCTCTGCAGCTCTGCAGGGAAGAGTTTAGCTCAGAATAAGCAGGGAGAAATGCAAACAAGGAACCTGCTGAGTTAGAGCTGGCATTCACCGAAAGTAAGTAAAAGGCAGCACGAATAACATTTCCACCCAGAGCCGATTCCCGATATCCGAGAGCAATACCTGGAAATCCTCTGTGTTCTGCTCAGGTTCGTCCGCCTATCTGAGCCACAATTCTTGGCCCTGAGGCTTCAGCCTTGCCCTCGCTCTCGGCCATCATTCCCCTGCAGAAACTCAGCAGCAAATGCCTTGCACGGAGCTTCTGCCCCAGAACCCTCGGAGGACGCCCTGGACTCACAGTGATGACAGCCGGAGGCAGCCCTACCTGCCCAAGGAGGCGGCCTGGGAAGCTGAGGCAGAGCCGCTTCAGTCGTGCACAGGGAAATCACGTTAAGGAAGAGCCAAAAACCGGTGGGATGCGCAGGCTTCACTTTCCAGTGTTCATGTCCTGCGTGCTTTGTCTAAGAACCTGTGCTAACCTGGCACACAGAAAACCCTCCCTCTAGGATCCTCAAGAAGCATCCACGTTGTCACCCCCGATTACCTGCTGGCCCCCGCGGTCACCCACACAGTCACCCCCCAGCCGGATGAGGCGGCCAGCCCCTCCCTGACACTCCCTGGGGGACCCTCTTCTTGTCCCAGTGCCCTCAGCACGGCCAGTCTCCACACAGACCTCGGGCCAGCTGCGGCTCTCTCTGCGAACAAAGTTCCTCTCCCCACATGTCACTTCGACCTTCTTCCACCCGGAATAAACGCCAAAGGACACAGCGGATAAAAATAAAGTGTCTCCTGTGACTGTATCTCAGCAGTCTAGCAATTCCGCCTGCGTGCGGCACACACTCACCTTCACTGTGGGCTCCTGACGCGTGCACGCGTTACACAGCTGGCTGCGCGTGGCATCCCTACCAGACAGCAAGCAGGGCTACTCCTGCCCCAGCCTCACAGACAACACTGAGGTATAACAGGATGAACTGGGGCCGGCGCCGTGGCTCACTTGGTTAATCCTCCGCCTGCGGTGCCGGCATCCCACATGGGCGCCGGGTTCTAGTCCCGGTTGCTCCTCTTCCAGTCCAGCTCTCTGCTGTGGCCCAGGAGGGCAGTGGAGGATGGCCCAAGTGCTTGGGCCCTGCACCTGCATGGGAGACCAGGAGAAGCACCTGGCTCCTGCCTTCGGATCACCAGCCGTTGCAGCCATTTAGGGGGTGAACCAATGGAAGGAAGACCTTTCTCTCTGTCTCTGTCTATAACTCTACCTGTCATTAAAAAAAAAAAAAAAAAGGATGAAATGGCACCCCCTATCCACCCACCCAAGTCCACAAAGCTGGCAAGGGAGTCACGGAGTGCTGGTAAACCTGAATTTGTACCTGTGGTGGACTTGAACTCTCCCATGAGCTTGAGACTTGACAGACAGCTCCGTTTGGACGATTCCAAACCCAACTCGTCCCCAGCTCAGCTGATCTCTCTCCCCACAAGCCAGTCACGTGTCCACTGTGGCCTCTTCTGCTGATAGCACTGTCACGTGACCAAGACCCAGAGGCAAGACCAGGCGATCTTGACCCTGCTTCCGATCCCACCTGTGGCCCCTGGAGCCCAGATCAGTGTTCTTCTCCCCTCTCCCTCTCCTCCCGCCACCTTTCCACTCCTGGACATCTATGCTGCAGGTCGGCAGCCCACATCTGTGATCATTACGATTCCATCCACTTTACCGTCAGGACAAAGGCCCACTGTGTCCTGTGCTAGGTAAAAACACTCCCGCCTGTTAGCTCAGTCACCGTCACTCGGGCTCAAGGCGCCTTTCAGATACGCTGCTCCTACTTTCTGGGATGCTCCCTGCACCAGGTGAAATCAGACCCAAGCCCCCAGTCTGATCTGTCTCAGGAGACTGCCCCGCCAAGACTGCCTTAACCCTCATCCCCACCTATTCCAACCCCCACAGGCAGCAAGGCACCCCCTATCCTCTGCACACCCCTCCCTGGTCACTCTGGATGGGCAGGCCCTCTCCCCACTGGGAAACCCCGGGGTTCTCAGACCTGTGCGCCAGTCCCAGCTTCCTTGAAGGTGCTCATTATGTCTCACTCATCTTGGGTGCCAGCAGGAGCCAGGACAGTGTCCGGCCGTCACAGACACTAAAAAACGTATTTCAGTTGAATACGGTTGAATACAATACAATACCAAATTGACTCGAAGTCAAAATGGGCACCAAGATCGCCCCGTGAAAGAGTTTCTACTCAGTCTCCCCAGCTGGATTTATAAAAACAGATTAAAAGTTCAGAGCGAATATGGAAATAAAGTATATTTTCCCACGACAGATCCAAGATAAACTCTAGGCTAAATAATGGAGTTGATGCCTTTAAAATCAAAGCATTCTTCCAGAAATGAAAACTCAATGTCAGTTATCCAATACGGGGCCAGCTGTTCAAGCTCCATCTTCCCAGTGGCCTGCAACTGGACATAGCAGAGAGACATACGGGGCTGGCATCGCGGTGCTGTGGGTCAAGTCAATGCTTGAGACCCCTCATCTCACACTGGAGCTCCAGTTCAAGTCCCATGTACTCCTTGTCCAATCCGGCTCCCTGCTAATGCGCCTGGGAGGGCAGCAGGTGATGGCCCTGCACCCACGTGGGAGACCCAGATGGAGTTCCTGGTTCCTGGCTTTAGCCTGGCCCAGCCCTGGCTGTTGTGGGCTTTGAGAATGAACCAGCAGATGGACGATCTCTCTCTCTCTCTCCCTCCTCTCCCTCCTGTCACTTTGCCTTTCAAATAAGTAAATTTTTTTTTTTTTACATAGTGGTGTGACTCTCTTGCTGATGTGAGCTGTCCATAACATAGTTCTAAGCGACAAAAGTAACAGTGATTTTTACTTGCATTTTAAAAAAATATGTGCATCCCAACAGAAAAACAGAGGTCTGAGGAATACATAGCAAATGTATTCACTTCCTGTCTCTCTTTCCCCACTTCCTGTCTCTCTTGACTTCCCATCTCACTTTCCCCACTTCCTGTCTTTCTTCACTTCCCGTCTCACTTTCCCCATTTCTTGGCTCACTTTCCCCACTCCCTCTCTTTACTTCCTGTCTCACTTTCCCCAGTTTCTCTCATTTTCCCCACTTCCTGTCTCACTTTCCCACTTCCTGTCTTTCCCCACTTCCGGTCTCACTTTCCCACTTCCTGTCTTTCCCCACTTCCGGTCTCATTTTCCCTACTTCCTGTCTCACTTTCTTTACTTCTTCTCTTCACTTCCTGTCTCTTTCTCCACTTCCTTTCTCTTTCTTCATTTCCTGTCTCTCTTCAATTCCTTTCTCTCTTTACTTCCTATCTCACTTTCCCCAGTTTCTATCATTTGCCCTACTTCCTGTCTCTTCACTTCCTGTCTCTCCCCACTTCCTGTCTCACTTTCCCCACATCCTAGCTCACTTTCCCCACTCCCTGTCTCTCCCCAGTTCCTGTCTCTCTTTCCCCATTTCCTATCTCACTTTCCCCACTTCCTGTCTCTTTCTCCACTCCGTCTCTCTTTCCCCACTCCCTGTCTCTCCCCAGTTCCTGTTTCACTTTCTCCAGTTCCTGTCTCTCCTCACTTCCTGTCTCTCTTTCCCCACTTCCTATCTCTCTTTCCTACTTCTGTCTCTTTCCCCTCTTCCCATCTCTCTCACTTCCCATCTCTCTTTCTTCACTTCCTATCTCACTTTCCCCAGTTTCTCTCATTTTCCCCACTTCTTGTCTCTCTTTACTTCCTGTCTCTTTCCCCACTTCTTGTCTCTCTTCACTTCCTGTCTCTTTCCCCACTTCTTGTCTCATTTTCCCCAGTTTCTCTCATTTTCCCCACTTCCTGTCTCACTTCCCACTTCCTGTCTGTCCCCACTTCCTGTCTCTTTCCCTAGTTCCTGTCTCTCTTTTCCCACTCCCTGTCTCTCTTTCCCCACTTCCTGTCTCTTTCCCCACTTCCTGTCTCTCTTTCCCCACTTCCGGTCTCTCTTTCCTCACTTCCTGTCTCACTTTCCCCAGCTCCTGTCTCTCCTCACTTCCTCAAGGGTTCCTCCTGGAGTCACCCCCTGGAAACCCCCAGCTCTGTGGTTTTAAGGAGGTCAGTGTGGGAGGAACCTCAGATCAGGGCAATTTCTAAAATTCATGTGATTGCTGTTACTACAGTTACTGGTTTTCATTCCGTTCCATTCCAATACAAGAGTAGTAATAATGAGCGACAGACGATACCTTCAGGATCTGAAAGGTGACAATGCCATTCTCCACAAAGCAGTGAGATTCTCCTCCAGTGTCACAGAGACTCCCTCCTGCCAGCAGCTGCTCTAACACCCAAGCAAGGCCCTGCAGGCTCCCAGGACCGCTCCACGCATGCACGGATCCAGTTTGATTTTCTCACTATTAGCCAGCACATTTTAGAATCTGTCCAAAATATAGGATGTCATTTCTCAGTTCAAAAGACCCTTGAAACTACAATAGCTCTTGAAAATATAAATATGATCAAAGCACTTACATTACAGAAAGGAGCAATCATCTCAGTATGCCTTCTAGATATCTCTACTCTGCATACACAGTTTAGGAAAATTTTGAGAGATTTCAGGATAATATCTAAAAATGACCAACCACTTTTTTTTTAAGTAAAAATATATTCCCAGCTTCTGGCACATGACTGTAACTAGAGGCTGAAAGTGCTTAGATTTTAAAATATGAACATGTACAATTCTCACATGAAATTCAACAGGAGCCCAATCCATGACGTGTGGTGAGTGTTCACTCTCCTGGACCAGAGAAGCCCACCTGCTAAGTTACATGCAAGAAGTCCACATAGCCCATGTTTTTGAAACAGAGACTAACCATTTATTTAACAAAGTGGAAACTCCTAATATCTAGCACTTCTCTACATTTACAATTTCAGGGAAAAGAGACGCACGTTCGACAGTACACATTATTATTATTCGACAGTACGCATCATACATTTCGATGGGTTAAGACACTTCTCTGACAACTCCGATTCATGCCCCTTCAGTGCGGGGGTGACTCCCTTCTCGGGGAGGGAGCCCGCGGCTCGCTGTCAGGAGCCGCGTTGCCAGCAGCTCAGCCTTCCCTCCACCCCAACCTGTCTGTCCCAGGATCTCTTTCACCAGAAGTCCAGGTGGAATTCCATCTATGCTGGTTCCCCAGTCAAGTGTGAGTCCCTTTAATTGCGAAAGGAATCCCAGCACACAGAAGCCAAAGGGTGTGGGGGCTCTTGTCCCCTCACTCACACACTGCTCTACCAGGTCGGGGTTTTCGTGTTGGTTTGTTCGCGCGCTGATGACGGTGTAGGTAGCTGCTGTGAGTGCAATGTGTGGGGCACCACGCCCGGAATCTGAATGACTGCCCAGCGGGAGAGCCGAGGGTCACTTGTGCCTTACAGAATCCGGGGGCTCTACCCCCAGGTGCAAGGTGCACTGGCCAGGCTTCTCCAGGGCGAAGGCAGGGTGGACCCCCTCGGTGAAGCTGTGCCTCGCCATGAAGAGCACCTGGCCGCTGGCCGCGTTGACGAACACGAGTCTCTGGCTGCTGTAGTCCAGCAGAATGCCCACCCTGGCTGGGTGCTCGGTTACGTGAACGTCGCTCACAACACCGCTGCAGAAAAACGTGTATCTGAAAGCAAACAACAGGCAATGAAAACCTCCGAAGGGCCGTGAGAGCAGGATACGGAAAAGGCCCCGCAAACAACCGCATCTCCTGCTGTTAACCGAAACGCGCGACACTGAGCTGCGATAACGCTGTGCTAATTACTGACATCAGATCCCTGCACAGCTCGCCCCAGCCGAAGACCATTTTTAATAACTGCTCCTTCCACGTTGGGAGGCAGTCCCAGAATAACCAGCAAACGCCTCCCTTGTGTTTTCTCCCCACATGCTAATCTCTCCCCGCTGCCCACAGGTTTTAACTACCACATTCACGGCGTGTCACTCTTTTGAATAAAACTCCTTTGAGGCTGCCATGGGTTCTAAAAAGTCCCGTAGGCTTGCCTTCTATACAACGTATTAATTTTACAGTTTAAAAAAATTATAGGCACCTTACATAAGGGTCTTAACAAAGTTTAAGAAAGACTTCATTATTATTGCCAATTTCATCCTCTGCGCACGCCGCACCTGCCCAAGCCTCACTGCTTTCTTGCTGGCGCTTTCTGCTGTGGGCAGCCCAGGGTTGCCTTTGACTTCTGAGTTCACCTCCAGCTGGTCCAGTGAGGACTCACTGGGCGGGGCTGTGCACCCAGCACTTTGAGGACGCTCTGGGGCTGTGAAAGGTTAAAGGGCACTGACCTTGTCCTCTGGGACATGCACTTGATGAGACAGGACACAGTCAAACTGCCAATGACTTACCCAGGGACTAAGGCGGAGACTCCCTAGGGCCACAGAAGATAAATCTCAGAAGGGAAACTGGCCGTGGGCGGCCCCACAGCCCCTGGCCTGCCTGGCCCTTGGTCACTGGCTCACTGAGGAGATGCAGGTGACACTCTGCTTGCCAGGGACTGCAGAGGCCCCACAGGCCAGGGAAACCGGCCTGGCCAGGCTCTGGCTTGGTTCTTCCTTCTAACAATGGAGCTCCCTAGGAAAAGTCCTCTGGCCTCAGACCTCAGCCACTCCCCTAAGATCAGCGTCCTTAGCAACCAGAGTGACCACCAGTCCCCGGACGCTTGCTTCTTGCTTCCTGAGTGGGTGTGCAGCCTGCAAGGGGACGTGGGAGACCACACCTCCTCCAAGACCCCTGTGCAGACCTCCCCTGCAGATGCTGGAGGCAGGCGGGAGGGGCCGGCCCCGCTTACCTCTGCGGCTCTGAGCAGTGCATGTACCACGAGGTGTCTCCCTGCCCCAGGGTCCCGGCCCGCACAGCCGAGCCGGCACAGATGCCGAGCCGGTACGCTGGGCAGTCTGTGACGGTGGCTTCCCAGTAATGCTGGCCGCAGGCAGGCAGCTCCTCACCCAGCACGGATGGGATTCTGTGGGCAGAAATGATGGATGGTGCTTAGTGCGGTATCACCAGCCGTTCCCCTACGAGCACTGACGCTCACGTAGTACTGGCAGGATTGTGTCCTTAGAAACTGCCGGGTTTTGACTAAGGACACTCTGTTCACGGAGCCTCTAACTCGGACCAGACCACCTCAGAAGTGCCCCGACTCCCCACACGTACCTGACACAGCCGTGTCACAGGCAACACACATGGGCTGCACGGGGCACCCCTTCAGGGGCTGCGGAGCCGCGACGGAGGGGAACCGCAGCCAGGGTTAATGCAGAGAGGCCTCGCGACGCAGGAAAGAGCCCCAGGCCCACCGAGGAGCAGACACCAGTGCGTTCAGCTGTGTTTGTCAGAGCTCGGCTGCTGCCTGGGCTGCCTGGGCAAGAGGCCCCGTGCCGTGAACCAAAGCGCTCGCCCCGGTTGCTGGGCCCTCGTTTGCTGGATGCTGCCTGGAAGTGGCTAGAGCTGCAGGGAGGCATCGCTCCCAGAAGCCGCCCCCCCGCCATCTCCTGCACCTGCCCGGCAGCCTCATTTCCGGGAGGCGGCTCCTGGCAAGCCCTTGATATTTAGGGCTAATTTCAGCTTCACCATAAGTAAAGTTCTAGAAAATACAATGCGGCTATCAACTGTTATCCTCTCCGAACTCCTACCAAACTCCAGTCTATTTCTCTGCTTTTTGATTTTTTTCAAGAAACTCAAACAAGACAGAAAAGCCCAATCTATCTCTCAGGTCTTTTTTCCCCTTTCTGAATTCACCCGTTTGTCTATTTTTAGCACCTACCGTGTTCCAGGCCCATGCAAGATTCTGCACAAGTCAGAGGCATGAGACAAGGCTGCTGCCCAAGGATTGCTCGTGACTGGGAGGCTGACAAAAAGCTCCACACGTCAGTGCCTTTGCACAGGTGACATGAGGGGGCACCAGGGCCCACGGCAAATCCCTGCTGAGCTGGGCCATGGCTGGGCAAACAGCAGCCGGATGGGAAAGCAGTGCACCTGCCGGCTGCCTGGCTGAGAGCCTGTGCAAACGGCAGGCCTCACGGTGCCCACAGCCAGGGTGTTTCTCTGGTGTTGGACACAGTGTCCCGTGCTTCCTGCCATTTGCTGGTTCTGACCCTCAAAGGAAAGCAGAGAGGCCACGAGAAGGAGCAGGGCGGCCTCCCCACCCTGGCCCAGCTCTGCTTCTCCTCTTCTGTGCTCCCTTTTGTGTGAGCCGCGGTGGGGCAGGATTTGTGGCCTCCATAGAAACTCGGGGGACTGGATGCTATTAAAAACCATAGAAGAATTGCCGGGTATTTTATTACTGAACCAGAGATAATAAATACCTCAAACAGACAATGAGTGAAACACAACCATCTGTGCTTGTACTCCAATACAAACACTGACACTTGCTGCCAGTCGCGGCCTACGCGGCCTCTTCCCCAGGGACGAGCACAGCTGAGCTCCACGGGCAGGCACGGGCACACAGTTACGGCCGAGGCCACATCCCGGCACGTCCATGAAGCCACGGACAGGCCCAGGGGAGGCCCGGGGAGGCCCCACGCTCTCAGCCTCTCCTGCTGACGCAGCCCCAAGCTGGGGCTGCCACCTCCTACTTACTCTGTCAGCCGTCTCCTCTCTGCAAAGCTGATCACTGTCCCGTCTGCGGAAATCTGCAGAGCAGGATGAGCTGTGTCTCTCAACAAGAGAAATCTGGTTCCTGTTGCGGGTGAGAAAACACCGTTACCACACTGGCCGAGCATCGTGTGCTGCCCCGAGCCCCACATTTCAGACTGGACATCAAAACTTGGTGTTTCAGACTCACAGCTACATACTACACTAAGGAGAGGGCATCTGTGCATGCCGGGGGCTGGTGACCTCTACCTGGAGCTGCAGGGGCAGCCTCACAGGTGTGTCCTGTCCTGGGCCACAGCATCTACCTCATCCGGAAACCAGGTGGAAGTGCAGAGTCATGGGCCCTCTTGAGTCAGAACCTGCATTTGAACAGGCTCCTTCAGGGACCTGGGTGCACACTGAAGTCGGGGGGTAGGGGCTTGCTGGCATCATCTGAAGAACAGGGTCTAGGAGCCAGCACTGTGGCACAGCAGATTAAGCCTCCACCTGTGATGACAGCATCCCATTTGGGTGCCAGTTCAAGTCCCGGCTGCTCCACTTGCAATCGAGCTCCCTTCTAATGCGCCTGGGAAAGCAGAACAGGCCAAGTCCTTGGCCCTGCACCCGTACGCGAGAACTGGAAGAAGCTCCTGGCTTTGGCCTGGCCCAGCTCTGGCCATTTTGGCCATTTGGGCAGTGAATAGGCAGATGGAAGATCTTGCTCTGTTTCTCCTCTTCTGTAACTCTTTCAAATAAAATAAAAAACAAGTCATTTTTTTAAATGAGAGGTCTAATTATGGGCAGTGCAGGCACTGTTTGGGGACTGGGGGAAGACATTTCTGGGCAGGCAGCCCTCACACCTCACATCATCTCTTCATCAACTACAGGTCACCCCTCACCACACCACCAACAAGGCACACGCCAAGTTCTTGCCGGCTAAGCAAACCAGCGAATGTGCTCCCCCACCAACCCTGTGCCATCTGGGTCTGGGAGAGGAAAATAAAACCCTTTCACAACAACTGAGAAATGCCAAACAGTTCTCGTTGGCATCACCTGGGCACTTCCCCCTAGATATTTTCATTGCTTCCTTCAGTTAGTCATCATTCATTCAGCCAGTATTAACTGGCACAAACTAGAATAAGCAGAACGAGACTGGAAATCAGTTCACAGGGTAACAGAGCCGAACACCCCAGGGTAGGCATTGTGGCCCGTGCTTGGGATGCCCGTATCCCTATCAGAGTGCTGGGTTAAGTCTTGGATTGTTCGCTTCCGATCCAACTCCCTGTTAACGTGCCTGGGGAGCAGTGGATGATGACCCAGTACTTGAGTTCCTGCCACGTGGGAGACCTGGAAAGAGTCCCTGGCTCCTGGCTTCAGCCAGGCCCAACCCTGGCTACTGGGACTATTTGGGAAGTAAACCATGAGATGGAATCTTTCTCCTTATCTTACACACACACACACACACACACACACACCCCACAACATACCCCACAAACGACAGCACCCTGTGAGTCCCACCAGAATCATCTGGGGAAACGTCTAGAATTGCATATGTCCAAGCCCGTCTCCAGAGTAACCAAATCAGGACCTCTAGAAGTGAGACCAGGCCATGTGCATTTCTTGGCACCCTGACTGACTGCTTAGCTGACGGGCAGCCAAGGTTGACAGCCTCTAAATAAATATATAAAAGAAACATCTGACCTTCGACCAATCTCAGCGCTCATGACCAAAACCTAGCCCAGCCCTGGCAGCAGGTGGGTCCTTATGGATTTGTGCCCTGGATACCTTCTCTGGCCGTGTGTGGGGGGCCAGTGGGGGCAGGAATGGAAACGCTCGGGTGTGGCGTGCTGTGCACAACAGAGAAAGTACCTCTGGTGGAGATGAGGGCGGCTTCACTCTGCTCACTCGTCCCAAATGCATTGCTGGCTCTCACGTAGAAAAAGTAGCTGTCATTGGGCTGGAGGTTAACTCTCAGCTGGAGTCCTTTAATCCCAGAGAAAGATCTGAATGCAAAGGGAACATTAATTTTAAACACAATACCACGTGCTAAGTGACTCATATCTCAACACTGTATTGAATGCACATCTTTTATTAACAACATATTTTCTTCCCTTTTCTGGAGTTAGCAAGCCAGATCCTGACAAATGGCAACTGTCTACTAAGATGTTGCCATCAAACCATTTCTATCTTGGCCAACTTTTGTCCAGTATGTGCCTTCCAGAATGCTCTTTGGTGGAAGTGGGATGTGTGTGTGAGTAGGACACTCTCTTTAAAGAAACAAATTCAGGGGGCTGGCACTGTGACACAGTGGGCTAAGCCTCCACCTACAGGGCCAGCATCCCATAAAGGCACCAGTTCTAGTCCTGGTTGCTCTTCTTCCCATCCAGCTCTCTGCTATGGCCTGGGAAAGCAGTAGAAGATGGCCCAAGTGGTTGGGCCCCAGCACCCATGTGGGAGACCTGGAAGAAGTTCCTGGCTCCTGGCTTTGGATCTGCCCAAGTTTGGTCGTTGTGGCCATTTGGGGAGTGAACCAGCGGATAGAAGACCTTTCTCTCCATTTCTCTCCATAACTCCACCTCTCAAATAAAATAAAATGAACAAATTCAGAAAACAGCCTAATCACATAGCTAATCAATCTCCAAGAGTAGACGGACTTCTCTATCAATTTTTGGCTGAGAGGGCACTTCTGGGTGAAGACGACATTGCACCAACTTACAACACAAATGACCCGAATTATCTCATTAACAGATCCAAACTGTGAAAAATCTCAATGACCGATGCTTTTCTTAATGTGGCCATCATGCCCAAGCCACCAGTGCTGATAGAAACGGAAGATCTTCAAGGGAGATGATATCTTTAACACAAACCTACTCCTGGCAGTAAGAGAGAATGTACCTGCAAAAAAACAAGAACCCCTCCAAGCCGCTACCCCCTTATGCCCCATTTGAATGCAAAGCAGAGCGCTGGCAGGGGTATCTAGTTGGCAGGGGGCTGGACAAGTCACAGGGTAGCAGCCCAGCCCTTCACATCCATCTGCTGGGTTTGACAGCGGCGCGGACACTGCTGATGAGCAGGCGTCGTTTGTGGCTTCCTCTCGGTTCCCTTTCACCTGCTTGGGATCACAACCTTGAGCGCAGACCCAACGCACACGGCTGTGCTTTGAAGCCATGTTTGCAGCGCCTCCGGGAGGCCGGAGAGGGAGTCCCCGGGCAGTGCGGGACGGACAGAGCCTGATGCTGGCTCGTGTGTACTGCGTGATGGTGAGCAAAACCTGGAACGTGACCCCGGCGTTCACGCCCGTTCTCAGACGGGCAGAGCTTTGTACTCGTTTCTGCTTCTGTTTCTGTTTGTTTTAATGAGAACACCACAAAAGCAGTAGACTCTAAGAAGCTCATTTTTTATCCTTGGGTGATTTTTTTCAGGTGATTTCTCTTGTTGATTTATTTCATTTTTCAATACTTGTCTTAGAGAATCACAGCGGGAACCGGAAAAAAAGAAGTGAAATGGAGTAACAACCTAATTTAAAACTTCTGAGAAAGAGAACCTGGGAGTGGATGTTTTGCTGAGCGGTTAGGACATCGGTTAGGAGGTCTATATCCCGCATGCCGAGGTTCAAGTCTTGTCTCCGGTGCTAATGTCAGATGCCTGTAATGCAGACCCGGGAGGCAGTGAGGACGGCTGGGTTCCCGCCCCCACGTGGGAGACCTGGATTGAGCATCCTGAGGCAGGCTCCTGTCCCGGCTACTGGGGGCATCTGGGGAGTGAACCAGCAGATAGGCGCTCCCTCCATTTCAGTGTGTGTATGTGTCCCTCCAAAATAAATGAAAAATTTCTTAACAAACCAGAAAACCATCTGTACAGACTAATGAAGTGCAAAAAGCAGTGTGTTCCTCACAAGTGTGGGAGGAGAGTGGCTGGGCTCCATCTGCGCTCTGCTACTCAGCACCTGCACCTGGTGAAGGTCAGTGCGCCCCACCGCCCCTCCCCGAGCGCTGTGGGTCGCTATCATCTCATCGCCATCACCGGAGCAGGCCTCAGGAGACCTCTATGTCTAGCGGCTATGAGAACGCGTCCATGAAGCTGAGCCACACGCCCACGGACAACTAATTACACTGCAGTGAACGACTGTCAGATCACGTCTTCTGGTGCAGAACGTGGCTCCTGGCTCAATCTAGAACACTGTTCTGGGTGGACGTACTGCTTATCCTACCTGAGCTGGTCACTGGAGAAACGCTTTAAATACACATTAATTATAATTAGTGATTAAAGTAGTCTCACTGAGCACACTCAACCTGGACTGAACTTGAGATTTGATTTGCTCATTAAACAAACACATTGAGCATGTGCCTGGGTCCTGCCTCTGCTTCTTCTCCTGCAGCCTGAGGAGAACCTGCTGGCTTCCCTTCCTGGCCATGCAGCGGTTAAATACCAACGACACCATGTCTTAGGTGTTTGTTCTCGGGTTTTGTCACTGAGAAAGTCATGCATTTGCCATATGTAATCCTATACAACTGCACGCTATGTGTCATTTAGAGAATAAAGGTTTGGGGCTGCATTGTGGAACATTTGGTTAAGCCACCACCTGCAACACCGGCATCCCATAAGAGCACCTGTTCCTGTCCCAGCTGTTCCACTTCCGTCCCAGCTCCCTGCTAACGTGCCTGGGAAAGCAGCAGAAGGTGGCCCAACTCCCTGGGCCCCTCCCCCCCACGCAGCAGATTCTGAGGCAGTTCTGGGCTCCTGTCTTTGGCCTGGCTCAGCTCTGGCCATTGCGGCCATTTGGAGAGTGACCCAGTAGATGGAAGACATCCCTCTGTCTCTTGCTCTTTCTCTCTGTCTTCTAAATAAATGAATGCATCTTTACACTTGGGAGAATGAAGGCTCACTGGCACTGAAGTCAGAACACGGGATTGGATCTCGCTTCTGCTTTTCCATGGAACAGGTCGGGCAAATTTGACAAAATGCAGTGCCCTCACTGAATCTGTCGAGTCAAAGCACCGGGTCTGAAAACAAAGAACACGAAACACGAGGTGCTTCATTCTCGACAGTCTGCCATCTTGCACTAGAGCACCAGCACAAAGCCGAAAGGTCAGATGCGAAGGCTCTGCCCCATGACCATGACCCTGACTCGAGTCTCCCGGTCAGCTGACTGTGCTTTTAAGCCAAATGAGAACTTTGAAAAGCTTGGAGTTTGAGATCCAAAGAGTAGCACCTTTCCATAGGTTCTGATTATTTAAATTTCAAAACACAACTTGTTATAACTGCCCTTGGGCCCACATGAATGACAATGAGCTTAGCACTGTTTGCAGAACTCAAGTTCACAAAACACCAGAGGCAGGTCAGAGACCAGATAGCAAATGAAACTGAACAGGCAGGCAGCCACAGAGGAGCAGGGCCCCGGTGTCCCGCAAAGACTCATGGACGCTCCTTATCGTAACAACTCAGAAGCTTCATGGCCAGCCAGCGTCCCAGGAAACGCAGGCCTGTTGTCGGCCATCTCATCACCTCAGTCACGCCAGGCTCACTATGCTATCGTTGGCATTGAGGGTGTGGTTGGAACCCACCTCTAAGGTCACCATGACAGACCCATGACCATGACCTCATTAGGAAAGAACACGGGGGCTCCCCAATTCCAGGAAACCTTGCCTTATTCCCAGAACCCTCCTCCATGTCTCACGCAGAGTCCCGCCCATCATTACAAGACGGACAGAAATAGAGACTTCAGGCTCCACCCAGAGGCTGCCTCTCCAGCCTGCCCACTCTCCCCTCCTGAGGGGCCTTTTGCTTACAATGACCCACACCCGCTGGCTCCCCTCAACACGGACGCGTCAAGAACCTGGACACCCTTCCAGGGCAGAACCACAGCAGGTTGCTTGGTGCTCGGCTAAGCAGAGATTTGAGACCAGTAAATAACGACTCGTGAGCTCATGATCAGGAGTCCAGAGCCAACACTGAACCTCCAAAGGCACAGCCCCAGTGGCCTCACTTCGGGATGTGTGTGTGGAATCTCCCCAAATGCGCCATCTGTGGTGGGCAGGAGTGGCTCTAGGAGGACGTTTCCAGAGTGAGAACCAGCACCTAGAACAGGCGTGCCGATTGCGCTGGGGCCTGGCCCTTGCAGCTGGCTCTGGGCACAAAGGGACTGCCCCTGCCCTGCTGGAGGACAGAGACATAGGAGGCGCTCCATCGTGGCCATGTGGAGGGAAAGGACTGTGGGGGCCCCCCACCCGTCCCCTCCGAGGCCTGAGGGCTGCCCTGCGGCTGAGGGGCTGTGGTCACCCTGCCGTTTCCGAGGCAGCGGCAGGAGCCCTGGGAAGCTGACGGCTGCCCAGCAGGATGGCGGCCTTCCTGCCCGGCCCGCCCTCCTTCAGTGCTGTGGGCAATGGCTGCAAGGCCTGCCACCCGTGGACAGTCGGGCAAGGGCATTCCCAGGGACTGACAGGGATGTCACGGAGTAAAGAATCACCAGGGGCAGATGAGGGGAGGGGAAGCACTGACAGCATGCCCACCAAGGCAGAGAGACGTGAGGCCAAAAGAACTAGGAGGTAAAATGATTACCATTTGCAGATGATATGACGGGTTATCCAGAAAACACAAGGAAATCTGCGGAAAGTGCCGTCGGCGTGGGAGAAGTGTGGTTTGTCCTAGCTGGATGAAGGGCCAGGTTATGAGGGCAGGAATATAGCCAAACACACCACCTCTGTACTCTGGGCGCTATCAGGTTCATCCCAGACCCGAAAGGGAAATGGGCTTTCTTGTGGGAAAGCCGCACAAGAAGATGAAGGCACACTCCCTTCTCACATCTCCTGTGAACACATTCTAGATAAGGTGTCCAGTGCAAAAAAATGAAATTTATTGACTACAAAAAATGGGAGATCCTATATGTGCACATATAATTTATATGTATCCACAGAAAGATGGAGAGGGATGTAGTTTAAAATATTATACAAAAACTAAAAGCTATTTTTAAAAGAGATTGACAAATTCAACTAAACTAAATTAA